TCCAGATGAACACCTCTTAGCAGTCTCCCATAGCACACCTCTGTGGTTTGCTCATATTATCAACTATTTAGCAGTGGGTAAAATTCTTGAGGGGTGGTCCAAGAATGAGAATGATAGATTCTTCTCACAGCTCAAATACTATTTCTGGGAAGACCCTGAGCTATTCTGTCTCTATTCGGATCAAGTAATCTGAAGATGCATCCCTGAGTTTGAACCCCAAAGTATCATTATTTTTGTCACACTCTTGCTTGTGATGGGCATTTTTCGGGGAAGAAAACGACAACCAAAGTACTGCAAAGTGGCTTTTATTGGCTATGTTTATCTAAGGATGCCCATGCTTTCAGTAAAAATTGCCTAAGATGCCAAGATATTGGGAATATGTCCCGTAGGGATATGATGCCATTTAATCTCATTCTAATTATAGAAATCTTCGATGTTTGGGGTATTAATTTCATGAGACCATTTCCGCCATCATCCGGTTACGAATACATCCTGGTGGCTGTTGATTATGCATCAAAATGTATTGAGGCGGAAGCAACCCAGACCATTGACCACAAAATTGTAATGAAATTTGTGCAAAATAACATTTTCTCTAGGTTTGGGTGCTTGCGAGCAATCGTTAGTGACGGGGGGTCACATTTCACTAATGTACAATTCCGTGCTTTGCTCTGTAAATATGGAATCATTCATAAGATAGCAACCCCTTACCATCCTCAAACAAATGGACAAGTGGAAGTTTCCAATTGGGAAACAAATGGACAAGTGGAAGTTTCCAATTGGGAAGTTTCCAATTGGTCCTGTTTGAATATTGTCGAACCGTTTAGAAATTAGAAAATACTCCCAAATTTGCCCCTATCAAGATAGGAAGAGAAAGATTGAGAAATTAGACAAAATTCTTCAAATTGTTAAGAGATAGTGGACTACCCTGAACAGTGTTGCAAAGAGAGAGAGAGAGAGAGAGAGAGAGAGAGAGAGAGAGAATAAAAGGTCAATGGACACCCTACACTTAGTAATCGGGTCTCTTCACCTAGGTCAAGTGTTGAGATTTGGGTCAAACGAAAAAGGGAATGCCAAAGAAACTTACCTAACACTTAATAATCGGGTCTCTTCACCTAAGTCAAGTGTCGAGATTCATGTAAAACGGTGAAAGGTAACAATAAAAATAAGTTCAGGGGTAAAAATCCGCTATCAGAAATAATAAGAATACCTATTTGATTTTAAAATCAATCTCATCCTATCAAGATAGTTTGCAAATGGAAAGGTAAATAACATTTTTAAGCCATGTTTTGTTAATATTCAAAATAAGATAGTTTTACCCCTAAAGCCCAATACCTATCTATACAGAGTTTGAGAATGTTGGAATCAGGATGCTTGATTAATTCTGTTAGGGATGACCTTGTAATGGGAAAGATCTATATACTCGGTGTAGTTTTAAGGTTGCATTGCTAAGGGACTCACAATGTTTAAGTTGGGGGTGTGATAACCCTGCATTTTGATGCCTTAAGGGCAAAAATTCAGGGGTATTTTTGGCCTTAGAATAGTCAAAGTGTACCATTTTCTCAATTAAAATCAATTATGTGACCTATGAGGGTCTTTGTGCAAATTATGTAAAAATATGGAAAGTTTTTTAGGCTGAATTACAGTTTTTGGGAAGCTGGTGTGAAGACCAATTGAGAGAGGGGGTGTTTTTGTAAAGAATTGAGAATAGGAGAGCGCCTCCTATCTGCTAAACCCAATTGGCACCCATCCTATTATATTACCATGCTCCCCTCTCCTTAGCAAACCGTAGGGAGCCTTTTTAACCTAATCTTTTCACTCCTAACAAACCCTAGTCGCTCCTAGGTGTTTAATCTCCACCCTCCACCTCTTTTAATTTCAACCACTCATTTTAGGGCTTTCCTTTATAGTTTTTAAACCCTAGGGCGCCACTTATTCTGCTAATCTCACCATTCAGCCCTTCACATCCAAATCACCTATTCTTTTAATCTTAACCATTCAACCCTAGATGTTCTAATCTACACTCTCCATTTCTGGGCGCCCAAATCTCAGCCCTACATAATATTGGGCACCCTCTCCTTTTATTTTTCAGCAATCGGATCACCCCAAAACCATCTTAGCATCCATTAGAAACCCTAGGACGTCCCTAAATTTGTTAAATCCCAGTTACTGCCCCCCATCTTTCTCCCTATATCCAGTTGTGTCCACCCTTCTCTACAAAAAGGGTCCTAGGGGCCTTGTAGAAGGGATTGGTCAATTCACCCAATTAACAAGGCTAAAGTTTCTTGAGGAGTTCAAGGGTTGTAGAAGGGGAGTACGCCTAGATCTTGTCAAGAGAGGTTTCTACAAGCTATTCAACCATTTTGCAACTACTGCTACTGGATATGATCAACCATTCTTTTCTTTTCTTTATTTTCTTTTCTGTTATTTTTATTTCTACAATCTTTTAGATTTAATTCTTTTTTGTTTCTCTATTTTGCAGATCTAAATTCGTTCAGTTCAAGACTAAGGTGATTCAAGGGTTGTAGAAAGAACAGACGCCCGGTTCTTGTTAGGAGGGGTTTCTGCAAGCTGTCTGGCCGATCTGCTGCTACCACCACCGGATCCGTATTCTGGATCGTTTTTTATTTATTTCTTTTATTTCCTTTGTTGATTCCCATACTTTACTAAATTCTGATTTTTATTTATTATCTTGTTTAAATTTGAAACATTACTTTCAATAATAATAGATTTCATTTTCGTATTTTCTGTCATTCCCGAATGCATTCTGTAGTCCAGATCTAAGTATATATTAATTTTTCACTTGCTTCCCTGTGGATACGACCCGTTTTCACCTAATTACTATGTTACTAGTTGTTTGAGAAACGATAAAAATTAAAAATGTTTAAACTGGTGTTCCAGAGTGTTTAATGACGTGCTTCCAGACACACTACTTACCTGTCAGCACATACATGAAAAACAGTTATGAAAAGCACCTTACCAAATAGCATAGTGTTACTCACTACCTACGTGGCAGAAGCATTTTTTTGTGAAAAAATGGGTCTTGGAAGCATGGGCTTTTTTTTTTTTTAAATCGGTCCCAAAAAGTACCCACACTTTCAAACACCATCTTTGTTTACCAAAAAAAAGAAAAAGAAACACCAAATCATTTTTATTAAAAAACAAATGGAATTATAAATGACTATTTTGGTTGGTAGATTTCTAATAGTTAGTTTGCACCTTGGCTTCTAAGTTCTAACACCTAATTTATTAAGTTCTAACACCTAATTTATTAGTGAATTTTTAACAACTAATTTAATACTGGATTTCCAAGCCAGTTTCCAATTTGACATCTATATTTTTCTTTATGTAAAACCATCTATTTTCAAGCTTGAAACATCTAAATTTTTCCTTTCTAGGTAAGAGTCAGGAACATAGTTTTTGAGTGTCAAGAGAATAATCTCTTGATTGAGTCCCGAAATTATGTTACCTAGCTAGCCTCTATGTAATTTTATTATCTATACTCATCCAATTTATCTTCTCTCTCTTATTTGTTAAGTTATTTTTTCCATTTTTCTTCTTATTGCTTAGCTACATCAAACTCTTACCAATCATGTTTTGCTTAATACCTCCATATAGACCAATCTTGTCAGGTTCAAACCAAATAAACACTAATTGAGTTACTGGTTATTGGTTCAACCGCCTTTGGTCTAAATCGTCTAAAAACACTGTTATAAATACACACTAAAACAAGGACCCTTAGACAGGTTTCTCTCTCATCCACTCCACATGGCCACTTCTTTTCTCAAGAGCCAAGAATACAGGCTTTTCACGTAATTCGCCCTTTCCATGCGGACAATGAGGCCCTGTTTGGGAAATGGGAGAGCCTAAGCTTTGGCTGAGTTGCTTTAGCTGCCAAAATAACCACTATGAAGAAGCCACTCTTCAAACATTCATGAGGATTTCATGCAGCGGCTTCTAGGTTTGCAAGATGGGTTTCACACGGAAGGCCTCGAAGCTTTGTTTGGTTAAAAACCAGGAAAGCCGAAATAGGCTTTCACATTCAGCCAAGAAATTGACTGTGGTGAAGCTGATTTTAATAAGTGGCTTAGTAAAATAGGCTACTCAGGTGGATCCTACCTGACAAATGAGAAAGCTATTCCAAACGAGCACCGAGTCTCACCAAATAGTTTATTTAATATAATTCATATATGGTTTTTAATTAAAATTCGATTGATTATCAAATCAAAACAAAGCTCTTCTTAAATCTTTTAAATCTCCCTAAATAAATAAAATTATACACAATTTCGTAACCCAAATCAAGATCGAGAAGTTAACTTTTTTTTTTTCTTTCTTTCAAGGTCATGTTACTAATGATCTAATAATTATATTATTTGGTAAAGATCCCAAACCCATCAGTGCACGGAGAACCTAGGAGCCTAGCAACAGAGGTTTTTGATGATCTGGAAGGTTTTTGACAAAATTCCGGATAACAAATAAAATCCATCCATCCGCTCTCAAAATTTAAAGTTTTGCATAAAAGGTATATATATGTTGATGTTGTTGGCAAGGATTACATCTATGACCCAAATGACATGCAAAACTCTTTAGTACTACTGAACTATATTTCATTAATGTTTCCAAATTCCAAAGTGTGTCCTATTTTAGTCAAAATTTGTGCCTTAAAATTATTGCCTTCTAGGTATTGGGATATACTAGCAAACTATGAGTGTGTAATCTTTTCAAGTGCATGCCCAAAGCTGTGTGGAACCATAATGACCAACTGATGATGTGTGGCTTAGTATGGTAAATTATCTGACTGGATGAGGGGAGACTTGGGATCAAATCCCCTTCTCATCAGAGTTTTGGTGGGCTATGGGTTTGGGGACTTCTTGTTTAGCTCCATGATGAACAGAAAAAAAAAAAAAAACAAATTGAAAGAACAGAAAAGAAAAGAGGAAATTAATGAAGAAGAAGATGATGTGGAACCATAAACAAAATTTGGTCCAATCCCATTGCTATTCTTGTTTTTTTTTTCCCCTTTTGGATATCTACATTACAATTCTTGTCAAACAAGGTAGTTTTTTGTTTCCCACATTATCAGAGCAATTCCTTACTAACCACACCAATATTATATTGATGAATGGGAGCCCTACCCAATTTAAAAAGTCGCCCCACCCCTTCCCTTGAGTGCTAGCTACACCTCCATGGCCAGGGGTTGATTTTGAAAAGTACCACCTCCTGCGTTCCCTGCCTTGTCTTGATCATTTTGTTGGAGCTGTGCTGCACTGTCTGTTGTCCCCATCCCATCTGCATGATTTCCTGTCCCTGCGTACTGCTGCACTACAAGTACCGATACCGTGGCTGCAAAGTCCGATGATGCCAACAAGTCCCCAATCGCCCCCAACTCTGGGCACTCACTCCAGTCGGTGAGACCAGCCGTGAGAGGCGATACCACACCATGGCTTCTCCCTACTATGTACAGGTCATGTATGTTATCAATGGACCGTATGGCCGCTACAGTCTCCTCCCCATTTTTAACAATCTTCTCTCTGTACGTGACTGACTCATTGTGGACGGTTCTTAGCCTGAACTCATTTATGTATTCTTCGTCGAGCTGCTTCTCCTTATCGTTGTCGGTTACCACTGTCAAAATACTTGAATCCTCAGTTTCATTGCCAGCTGCCACTATGATTTCGCTGGTATCATTCCCTGGAAGGAAGCGTAGCAATGACAACTTAACATTAGGGTGGGTTGTCATCCTCCATGCATAAGCCAACGCCTCTCGATCATCTGGTCCACCAAAGAAGAGCATGGCAACGTGGTGAGTGTCGTGGTTGCTTCCCACTCTTGCTGACCTAGTAAAGCCCCGATCAACAAGGATGCCGACGGAGCAAGGAGCGTTGGCCAAGACATTCTGGTTTACACTACGGAAGGCAGGGTTTGTGGCCTCCATACCACCATCAACTGTTTGTTGCTTGTGGAATGGAAGGATGATAAACGTAACACGCTTGTCCTCAGCAAGGTTGCAGATGTCCTCATGCATGGTGGAGTAGGGAGAGATGGCCGTGAGAGGCTGGATGGCGATGCCTGAAGTGTGTTGCCTGTAGTTCTCGAAGGCATTAACGATATGGTCTGACTGCGCTTGAGTGCGGTTAAGAGCAGGGTGACCGAACTTGCGAGTGTTGTGGACGATCAACATGGCGGAGGCTCGACCAGTGAGCTCAACAAGATGGAGAGCGTAGACACAAATTGGGGACTTCTTTGAAGGATGAGCGGCGTCAATGAGGCTGATGATGGTCGGGACATTGCGAGGGCTGTGGATGCAAGACAGTATTCGGAGCTCACTCTCAGGCTTCGACATCTGAATCGTCCTACGCTTATAGGGTAAAAATCGCCTTGTGGGTTTGTAGATAGTCGTCACGATGGGTGTGATAAGGCTCGTCATCACAATCGCCGCAATCACCATGACTGAAAATGATTGTTCATCCAGAACCTATCCACCCAGTATACAAGTGTGGTGTGTGTTTTTGTGAAGGTCACAAGCAAAATAATTAATTACAATCGTGTAAATTGGATTTGCTCTCACACCAACCTCACAGTTAATCCGGATTTGGTACTCACCCTGACCTCACAACACTTAACCGTGCATTGAGAACATCTTCCTTACAGCACAAATGTGAGGATGAAAACATAAAAGTACTGAGGTGTTCCAATGAGTTGGGATCTTCTGCCAATAAGATACCTTCTAACCCCTACCAACACTGCACATCTCATTATGAGACTGAGATTGGCACCCATCATGTATAAGATGTGCAATGCGAGATCATGGTTGTAGGTTGTTGGAGTGTATTTTGTTGGCAGGTGATCCGGTGGACTCGTTCCCAACGCAGGGCCGGTTGTTCAAGGTGAGGAGCAATTTTGTGGGGATGAAATCCCATCTCCTTCACGGCATGTAGCAGTCATGCATTGGGAAGAATTTGGATTTGTTCCTCACTACAGCACGTGCAACGGCACATTCCGAATATCTCCTGTACTTGTACGTTGTCATGCATTCATGGATGGGAGATATTCCCATGCATGGCTGCAAGGTGGTGTGAGGCGCGTTCTGTGAGGAGTAAATTGAATTCAATTGTAAACATGCTGTGAGATTGGCATGATTAACAAGTCGTGGAGAGAGAGAGAATATTTGTACCCCATGTTCCCTCCCAATGTTGAGGATGATAATTTCGATAAGGCCTTTGGTGTTCATCAGCAGTCCAAGACTAACCCCTTCACGCATTGGCATCTTGTATAAGAAAGAAACGAATAGTGTGCCAAATACTTTGCCAAGACAGGCCAAGACAGCGAGCAGGATCAAAGTAGACCAGCTGCCAAACCCCTGAATAGCCCCGACATCAGTTCTCAGGCCATTAACGGCGAAGAAGAGGGGAAGAAGCAATCCTGAGACAAAATCTTCAAGCTTTTCAATGAGTACAACTCCGAGATGACCATTGGGTATGACAAGACCAAAGAAAAATGCACCAAAGATGGAATGGGTGCCCACAGCATCGTTGATGAACCCAAATACCATGACACCAGTGAGGATGAGGCAAATATGGAAGTCACTGAAGTTCTCACCCTCTGGAGTGCGTTCTACGATCCATTCAATGGCAGGCCTTACGACAAAGATGCAAAACCCGACGTAGCCGATGGTGGTGAACACCATGCCAAGTGGGGCCATGTTGTTTGAATCATTCCCAGATAGGGCAACGGCCACAGCAAGTAATATCCATGCACACATATCATTAACAAGGGCTGCAGACATGGCGATCTTCCCCAACTCAGTGTTGAGGAGTTTAAGCTCTGCCAAGATGCGTGCTACCACTGGGAAGGCAGTTACAGAGAGGGCAACTGCTAGGTAGAATATAGATGAAGTGCTATGGCTCACACCGGTGTTTTGGCTTGTGAAGGACATGAATATAATTCCGATGGCAAATGGCAGGAACATACCAGCAATAGCGATGGAAAATGCTTTCTTCTTTGTGCGCTTAATCATGGTGAGGTCCATCTCCACTCCAACTAGAAACAAATAGTAGAGAAGTCCTACGTTTGCCATTGTCTCTATCAACGTGATACTCCTCAACGGGAATACAATCTCAGTAAAGGTCTTGCTCCTCCCAAGGACAGATGGGCCCAAAATCACACCTCCCTGCATTCATTAATTCGTCTTTACATCTACGTACAAAGCAAAAACAATAAAAAGATCGATGCGATGCAGTTGAGTTCAAGGTGTAGTATATGTATGCTTACGAGGATTTCAGACACGACTCTGGGTTGGCGGAAGGGCTTTAGGATAAAGACAAGAATGCGAGTGATAATGACGATCAGGCCAAGCTGCAAGGTGAAAAGAGGAAGGGAGTAGTCCAGGGGGTTGTCACCTTCCCAAATTCCGCCAGCCGTGATCATGGTTGGCGAGTAACAAACAATTGGCTCCCCTGTGAAGTTCAAGCTAAGGCCATCTGCAGAATTAGAATCAAGACCAGACATTTTGGCCTCCCTTCCTCTGCAGAAGGCCACACCCACCAATTTCCCTGTCTGACACCCTTCTTTTCTCTCTCTCTAGCAATGTGAGAATGCTAGGAGAAGAAAGAAAAGAAAGGGGTCGACAAGGCCATCGAGAGTGTAATCGGGAAGGAACTGAAGAGAAATGAAGGAGAAGAAGATTTAAAAAAAACAAAGCAAATAAGTAGGGAAGACAATCGCCATTACTCTTTTCTATTTTTTGGATGAATGGTGATAATTCAGTTGCGTGGACAATGCTCATTCTCTCATATTTTAGTACCGAGAGACTCTCACAAATTGTAGTGAACAAGGCTGTTGCGTGGGCAATGCTCATTTTCTCTTATTTTCTCATTGATATATTTGATGACATGTGTGCATTGCTTTGTTTGTGTTAGAGTTGGCCGAGTAGGGTGACTTAGTCTTTTTCATTTGACTTTAAGTGGTGAATTGTCATCCCATAGGGGGCATATTTGACTTTATACCCTTAATTAATAAAATAAAAGTAGGGCTGCAAGTCGGGCCGGGTTAGGTCGGATTGAGGCCAACCCTAACCCAACCCTATGTTCTAAACCCCCAATCCTAACCCTAACCCAACCTGACCTACTCAACCCTAACCTTAACCCTAACTAATTCCTTCAACCCTAACCCATCCCGAACCAACCCGATGTCAACTTCGGGTTGGGCCCAACCCAACCTTCCCATCCCTTAAAATTTAGTAGAAAAATAAATATTTATTTATCATGAGTTATGACCTATGATAGAATTTTTCTCAAAAATATAAATTCATGAAATTAACAATAATGAAACATAAAATTAAGAAAATAAAATCACTAATAACAATTCATAGGATCAAGCAAATAATTTGAATTTGGTCACACATAAAAATTACAAGACAAAAGGAAAAGACAAATAATCAAATACCTATGAATTACTTAAAGAAAGACATGATAGTATATAGGGGGGCTATATAACTATCGTGCATCTAAACAAATCAGTATAATATATATATGACATGTAGTAGAGTTGTAGACTAGTAGTCTAGTACTATAGGGGTCAGGTTCGGGTTGGATCGGGTTGCCCGAGGGGTCAACCCTAACCCAACCCAAACTAAGGTCGGCTTCAAGAATTTCAACCCTAATCCTAACCCAATCCAACCTAAGTTGGATTGGGTTCGGGTTTGGTCTCTCTAGTTTAACAGATTTCTCCTTTCTTCTCCTCTTCTCTTCTTCTTCTTCTCTGTGTCTCTGAGTAAAACTTGTCTGAACCATCAAAACAGTTTGGATATACTTTTCAGTTCATCTCTTTTTTTGTGGGCCAGACACAAATAACCCCTCCCAACTCTCAGTCCGGATTTCCTATTAACCCCATTTTGCTGCCCTTCCTACTAATTCAATGACTTAGGTGACATTTGTCCCATATTCGTGTGACCTCATTATTATGTGCAACAATTTCTACGTGAAACATCTCCCACTCCCCCATCTAGCGCTGCTCAACAGTATCATCGTCCTCCCCATCAATTCCTTTTTCTCTTGTTTCTGTTCATAGTTCATAATAGATTTTATCCATCCTATTGGTTCATTTAAACAATGCTAAATGGGTGGGAGCTTTTATTATTGGCCTTCAACTAGTCTCCAAATTCATTCCTCGTCGTTTAATGTTCAATTAATGGCCAAAATTAATAGGACGTTAAGAACCCATTTACCAAAAGAAACTGAAAAAACAAAAAGACCCATTGGTATAATGGTTAAAGCTTGTTGGGAACGGAAGCAAAACCAATTGTAGATTGGTCAAGGTAATTCTTCACAACTGACAGGGGTCATTTTCTGGTTTGTTTGAAAGCATTACCTCTGCTATTTTTTCTTACGAGAAATACACTGCAGCTAAATGCAGAATTAATTCTGAAATTACTGCCCCCATAGTCTATTAGTAGCCTCCTATAAACCATATCCTGCCCGTGGATTTAGCATCAATTCATGGTCATTCACGGTCAGGATTCATCCCCCTGTGAGGTGGGGTTAAGAATTCTGAGCTGGGTTGATCAGTCATTCTCCCATTTTTGCTTTATAGTCAATCTAAACTGAACCCCCAACTATTCCTTCACAATGATTGTCGAACAAAATAGTTATGATTTGCTTCTGCTTCACCGCCTCTGGTAGCTTTTTTCTTTGTAGTGAATCCAGACAGAACCCCTAACTCATTGTGACATCCAAAAAGTACATATTTTTTAAAAAGAAAAAAAAAAGTTTTATTAGAAAAGCTACAAAATTTGTCTATCGTGCTTCTTTTTTATTTAAGAGAAAAGGATAGGATTTGCTGCTTATTTAGGGTTTCGACTTTCAACCAAAGGTGTGCAAATAGAGAAAAGGAAAACGAGAGAGCATATTACACGAGGGAGGGATGTCAAACAAGGCATGGGACAGATGTCACCATGTCATTAAGTTAGTAGGAAGGGCAATAGAATGTGGTGAGTAGGAAATCGGACCCGTTCATTTAATCAATTACTCTATTAATTATTAAGGGTCCGTTTGGCTTGCAGTCAGAATCGAAATCCTTTGGAATTGGAATCGGAATGATTTATTCTCATAATCTGTTTGGAATTGGAATCGGAATGATCCATTAGTTGACCCTACACAATACCCATATTTAGTGGGCTTGGGTTGACAATTGACAGAAAGACTAATTACAGCCTTCTGTTGTACATTAATTACATTAATTACATCCTTTTGCTTCTATGGATCTTATTCGGAACAACATATGTGGTGTGATTAGACCTGTTCATGGGCCGGGTAGCCCGACAGGCAGGCCCGGCCCTCGGACGGGCTTGAATATGAGTTTTAGCCCGTAGGCCTAACCTCAAGCCTAAAAGCCCGGCTCGATTTTTTTTCACTCAAAAGAGCCTGGCCCGTCCCAACTTTTATATAGTTTAAACCCTAAATTCTTAAATCACCTAACCCTTTCCCATTTCCTTCTTTTCAGTAGTGTTCTATCTTCTCACTTTTCTTCTCATTCTCAGTTTCTCTCTCTCAAGCTCTTAGAACCGACAAACCCATGCGAACTCAAGTATCGGCACCACCAAAATTAGGCCATCTCTCCGATCGGCACCATTTTCATCTTCTATCTTCTCACTTTCTCATTTTTCATTCTCACTCTCAGACTCTTAGGAACCGGCGAACTCAGGCGCCATTCTCACTCTCAAAGGTGAACTCAGGCACCGACGCCACCAGTGAACTTGTTCTTTAGAGTCAGGCCTAAAAAATTTTTGTTAATGAAGAGAAAAAGCCTGGCCCAACCCGGCCCATGAAGAGGTCTAGGTGTGATTAATTACAGCCTTACATGGGCCCATAAAACCATGGACATAAATACAAATAAAAAGGGTCAATAGGATTTTGGTTCCCATTGACCAAAAAACCAATGTTTTTTTTTTTTCAGATTTATGTGGGGACTAGAGAAAATTTATTTTCCTGGGTATCACTTGTTGGGGGGCAAGTGATGCCCATCTCCTAGGTAAGGTTGTCAATGGACCGGTTTTGGATTGGACCCTGTCCAGTCCAAAATCAATTTGGACAAATTGGACGGACCAACAAGACATATTGGATTGGACCAATCCGGTCCAAAATATATTAGATTGGATTGGACCTGGTCCGTTTGTAATAAATTTATATTGAATTGGGTTGGATTAAGCCAATATCTGGTCCATTGATATAAGATAAGAATATAGGTGTCAATGGACCAAGTTTGGGTTGAAACCAATCTAAATCAAAATGAATTTGAACAGATTGGATGGTCCAGACATTGAATTGGACCAGACGACTAGTCCAAAATGGTCCAAAATATTTATTTGACTGGATTGGACCTGGTCCATTTATAATGGACTCACATTGGACTGGATCGAATTGGACCAAATCCAGTCCAATTGACACCCCTATTCCTAGGTGGGTAAATAACTTTCCCATCTTGGAAAAAAGTTATCAACATTTGAGTGGAACAAAAATGTCCATTTTAATAAAAGATTTTTATAGCCAAAATGGTCATTGCCTTATTTACATGAAAAATAAAAAAATATAAGTAAATGCACTTACTAAGTGTTTACCATGAAGCACTTACCTGGGTGAGTGCATTTACCCGATGGATAAGTAATTTACCAAAAAAAGCGAACGAGGCCTTAATATTAATTAACGTTACCTCATTTAAAGTATCAGAAACACAAAAAGGATAAAAAAGGTAAAGACGGATTGACTATATTTTGTTTATAACCTCTTCTTTGTTTATAAACCCATACCTAGAATTCTTGACTATATTTTGTTGACTAGAGAAGAAATCACCTTACAACTTCATGAGTGTCTTTGATTGGATTGTACTTTCAATCAATATTATTATGAAATCTTTAAATTCAATTGCACTTCACATAGCCAATTTGGCCTGTCGCTAGCGGTAGAACTCTGTCATGGGTTGTAGCTCAGGTGTCATGTTTGTTGACATGGCCACTAAGCTCTTGAATTGAAGTAGGCGTATCAAATATGCGCTCATCGTAGTAACCAAGAACATCAGCTTGAATTGGTATTTTGGCAACGACCGCTCGGTGCTCGTCACCAATTGCATCTTTTGCGTCAGTTGCACGCGGCGATGATAATCAATGACCCGAGTCGCCGGGGAGAAGCTAAATTGGAACTCGTTAGCTCTCTCAAGTCTCAAGACTCACCATAGCGATCCAATGTACCTAGATCCAAGCCATCCGGCAGAGTCATCAATGAGTGAGCGACAAGCCGAGCGGAGTCTCTTCAATTCTAAATAAAAATAAAGGATTTTAAAGCTCTTTTCTTCAGATTCAACATCGGCGTCAAGCCTATCTCGTGCATGTTCAAAGTCTGACTCCACATCGGCATCAAGCCTGAAGTTAAGCTCTTCGACCTCAAACCTGTAGTAATTCATCGGCACCAAGCCTGTAGTCAAGTTCTTCGGCCTTAAGACTGTATTCATCTCTCTCAGTTTCAAGCCTGTTTTTTCTATGTCAGGGTTAGTCCTC